TATCTCTATATATTCGAAATAATTTAATTAATTCAAACTTATCAGAAAGCAATACTCTATTGTATGATCTTTTGACTTGTGTAATATTTGTTACATTCTTTTTTGGTCATCCTCTTTTTCTTCTTTCAGATTGTGGTGGTATAAAAGGAATAATACGCCGTGATTCCACAACTTCAACTTGTAGAAGTTGTGGAGAGTTTTCTATATAATCGCTTTGAACAATTGGATCTCTTGCATCAAGATATGTGAGTGAACGAGACATTTGATTATTATTTAAATCAAAGTTGTTTTTGTAGTTCAAATAACTTAAAGAAAAAACAATGTAAACACATCTTTTGTAATATTTTATGTTTATTTGTGTTTATTTTATTTTTTGTTTAAAATAACGGGAAGTTTCCGTAATTAACGACATTTATATATTTATAAAATAATCTGTCACAAGTGTTAAAAATCATAAACTTTTTCAAAATATTATTGGTCACTTTCTTATAGATTGCATCATTTCTGAGAAAAATCCATCACTTTTGATATAATTTCCCATCATTTTTTACCATAAATCATCATTTTTTACGATTATTTATCACTTTTATAAAAAATACTCATAATTTTTCAAACAAATTACTATCACTTCTCAATTAATTCATCATTTTTATCAAAAATGTTGTACATTTTATAAAAATCATATCACTTTCATAAAAAATACTATCACAAGTAGACCTAATTCGACTGTAATAACTATAAAAAATGATGACGTGGGTATTTTTGTGAAAAAAATGAAGAAACCAATAATTCAAAAACATATTCCAAATTTTAAGTAAATTTAATTATATATAAAAACTATATTAGAACCAACTTGTTGAGTTATCTCATAACTAAAATACTTTATTTTTACTTTAATCGTATAAAAAGATTCTACTAAAAAAACTCAAAAACAAATGTCTTCAGCAATCGACTCATTCATTGAGTCACTAAGTGATGTGAATATATTTGTTAATTCATCTGATTTAGAGGTGTTCATTCTTTCAACACAATTTTCGACATCACAGATGAACTCTTTAGTCAACTTAATTGCAACCAAAATTTGCGAACATGACAATTTGAAAAAGAACGAGAACAAAAGTGTGAATAAAATTATCACAGCCCTTGCGAAACGATTGGATCCATTCGTTGATTACTTTCCACTTGGAACTTCAAAAGATTTTTTTTGTAATATCAAACTCTCAGAAAAGCACAAGAAATTGATTGAAGTATTAAACAACTGGGGTATCCAAGTATTCTTACCGTTCTTCGATGAGTCCAAATTTATTGAACTTGTCAGAAACTCCAATATCAATTTAAACAAGAAAATATCGATTTTGACGAACTTCGTGTTTGAAGACAAAACACTTGAAAAAACGTTTTTTGAATCACAGAAGAAAATCACTTATTCCATGTGCAGGCACTTCGACGAGATCAAAACACTCCAAAACATCGACGAGAATTATTTTGGAACAAATGAGCGATGGGACGGTATTTTCTTGGCAATTTATTTAACACGAAGAAAAGAACTAATGCGAGTTAGTGTTGTAAATAGAATTTTTGAGAAATTCACACAAAACTCGTTTATGGCGTTTTTCGATGTTTTGTCCTCAAACAGAAATACAAGTGATGTTACCAAATACTTACATGATACCAATATCGTTGATTGTGTTTTTAAAATTGTTATATCGAAAAATTGCAAGTCCAAGAATAATTTGATGTATTTCATAGCCGACGTGTTGCCAGACAAAACTTATGAAATCGTGACAAATTATTCTCAATTGGTTGAAAACGCGACATCAACATTATTCAACACTGTTTTAGAGTTCATGAAAATATTAGTGATTTTACTTGAAAAATTTGATTCAATCGAAGACTCCCGTTGTGATGATCTACTTGGTGTGGTTCTCAACTTTTTAAACCAAAATTGTAATTTCAATACAGCAAAATTGTTCTCGACTTTGGTACTTGTCAGCCCAAAATATATCAAACAAAGAACAGACGTTTTTGAGACTTCTATTATCAACTTCGTTACGTTAATTGCAAAGACACAATATTGTTGCAAAAGAAATCAAGGCCTGTTAAAAAACGCATTTTGTGTCATCGCACAATTCGCAAATGAAAATTTGAACAAAACAATCGGCAAAAAGGTCTTTGAAGTGTGCGCAGAAGAGCACAACAAAAATAATTTGTTGCACATATTTGATGGTATGAAGTGTTCCCAGAAGTACTCCAAAGTGGTTTCTAAGTTGTGTTTTTCCAAAATTTCAGAGGAAAACACTGAAACATTATCAAAAGTATATTTAGACCTTTTAACCACAACACTAAACACTAAAATTGCATTTGAGAATTTGGATAAATTTACACAAATATTTGGGATGTGTTCTGCTAAAACAAATCGTGAAGCTCTTAGAGCAATGAGGCGGTTAGTTGGTAATTATTACAGGATGTTAGAAAACCAAATTTCACATGAAATAGTTGGGACAACAGAAACACCAAAGCTTTTGGAGATTTCAAAACAGTTTATAGACAAAACTGTTTTGATTCCTTTCCAGAATTTAACGGCATTCTTAGAAAAGGAAAATGTCCAACAAAGTGGTGTTGTTGATTTACTTCGAAAAGTGTATTTACCACACCAATTGCTTTCTTTTATTAACACCACCCAACAACTACCATTACTTGAAATACTTTCTCAACTTATATCAAAAGTATATACACATCTCAGTAACAATTATAAACAAACGAAACAGTCAAAACCATTAATCGAGTTCTTGAACATTCTCCAATCGTTTATTAAAAAAGACCAAACACTGAAAATATCGTACTTCAATGCACGTTTTGTTTCTAAGGAAATCAGAGACTTGATGAATGAAAGATGCGTTCAAAAAGACTTTGAAAACGTGAAGAACAACAGCGGTTTTTTACTAATAACTTCAGTTTATATCAACACTACACTGCTTTTGAACGAAACAATTCGACAATTATTGGTGTCTCAAAAGCAGTTCAAACGACTTACCATCGACTTTCCAAACTCAGAGAACGAAAAAACGATTCCATCATTATTACCAATTGTCTTGGATAACATCAACTTTGTTAAATTCACTTCTTTTATCAAATTGTTGATGAACAACACCCTCATTAACTGCGAACAAGTTTCAATTGTTATATGCAATCTCTTCAATTCTGTATTAGACAAAACACAAATTCTTCCATTGTGTAATGTGTTTGCAACCAACATGTTCCTCACATTTTCTGTTGCCAATGCCCTCTCGAAAACCGTTTCAACCTATTTAAAGAACAACAAAGAAAGTATAGACAACTCTCAAGCAGAAGCATTTATAAGAACGTTATTCAGTGTTATTGAAAACACAAGCGGTGTCGTCAAAAATATTTTATACACAATTGTCACAGAAGTTATAAACGTTGTCTGTTCTCGTTTTGAAATAGTTACATTTAACGAAAATGAAACAGATAGTGTAATACGTCGTAACATGGTCTTTTTAAAATACAGAAAATATGATGAAATATTTCCTTGCTTGAACGCCAAGACAACGAAAGGTGCGATGTCTGATAACATTAAAAAAATGGTGACAACTCATTTCACTCTTTCTAATATCAAACTTCTTCTCTTGTCGTGGTACTCCACAAATCACATGTCGTTTAGCAAAGTCGAGAAAAACGTGTTTTCACTCTTTTTCGCATTGATTCCTTTTAATGAACTGCAGAAGGCAATAACTGAGTTTGAAAATGAGAACGAGCGAGGAGACTTTAAAGGGGAAATTTTAATATCATTGAGCACTTTCTGTTATTTACTTCCACAAACAGAACAAACAACATGCGAAAAATTCATTGTGACACATTTTGCAGAAACTGCGCAAAACATCGAGTCAGAGCACCAAAGTGCATTCTTGAAAAGATTCATGAAGGGTGATATTAAAATAGTTCATAAATGTTTTGAAATGATAACACGTGGGTGTGAAGAGCAAATATATGGAAAGCTTCAAATGGAATTCATATTAAAAGAACTCTTAGACTCCCCAAATGAAGAAGTTATTATTAAACTATTAAAGAACAAAGAGTTTACTATATTCAGTTCCACTCAATTTAAAACACTTTTGAATTCACTTTCAAAGAAACGGGAGAATGAAGTTCTTATTTACAACATCGCTCAAATCATTGAATATAGACCATTGACTGCACTCCCAACCCAAATTGATCCAATTTTGGAAATAGTTAGTTATTCATTCTCTTCGGTAAGAGAAAACAACATCACTCTATTTTTTATGTTGATAAAGAAAATAATACAGTTCTTGCCTTTTGAACACTCGAACACCATTTTACCGAACAATATTTATATACAAAAAAGTGTGATTACCAACTTCGTGAAAGGGGTATTGGAAGTTTTTAACAATACATCAAAAAATGGAAAAGTGTTTATTGCCCACTTACTCCAAAACATTGAAAACACTGAAGTGATTTATCAAATACCATTAAATGTCTTGTTTGAAAATTCTGATCTTAAAACAAGAAATGCAATTGGCGAGACACTCGAAAAGATAGTGAAGAACACAAAGAATTATGACGTGTGCCAATTTTCAATGGACAAAAATAGTGATATCGTCAAAGAACATATCAACACTATCAAGGCAAGAATTGTGCTGAGACAAGGAGATATACTTCTAACTG